TTAGGTCCGGTTTGGTTAGGTTAGGCAAGGTTAGGTTAGTTTAGGTTAGGTAAGGTTAGTTTAGGTTAGGTTAGGTCAGGTAAGGTCAGGTTAGTTTAGGTTAGTTTAGGTTAGGTTAGGTTAGTTTAGGTTAGGTTAGGTAAGGTCAGGTTTGGTTAAGTTAGGTTAGGTTAGGAAAAGTCAGGTTAGGTTAAGTTAGGTTAGGTAAGGTCAGGTTTGGTTAAGTTAGGTAAGGTAAGGTTAGGTTAGTTTAGGTTAGGTAAGGTTAGGTTAGTTTAGGTTAGGTAAGGTTAGGTTAGTTTAGGTTAGGTTAGGTTAGGTAAGGTTAGGTTAGGTTAGTTTAGGTTAAGTTAGGCTAGGTAAGGTCAGGTTTGGTTAAGTTAGGTTAGGTTACATAAGGTCAAGTTTGATTAAGTTAGGTTAGGTTCAGTTACTGTAGATTAGGTTGGGTAACTATGTTAGGGTTAGTTTGATTAGGTGTGCGTTAAATTAGAATGGATTAGGTTAGGAAAAAATAAGACTTTGTTTGGATTTTTACCCTCAGGGTTATCCACCCAAGATAACCTTTCAAAATCAGTGCATCATCGAGGACTGTCTTATTTCCATTGGAGTCCTTAATCTTGTCCCCCAGGATGCAACCCACACCAGTCGACTAACACCCAGGTACCTACTTGTTAGGTAAACGGGACAAAGATGTGAGGAAACACGAAATGTTTCTCCCCTCGCCGGGGATCGAACCAAGGACACTGTGTGAAGCGAGAGAGTGACCACCAGGCCACGGGCCACCGCATGTTACGTTAGGTTTGATTAAGTTACAAAAAAAGATCTATTTAATCATAAATAAGAAAATACAAATATTCTGACATGTGGGGTTGAATAGCCCCGGGAAACGTCCATAACTGCACGAGTATGGTGCCATAACGGTCATAATACCCAGGCTGGGTAGTCCGTGGTCATGTTATAGTCCGTATCCCTAGACACCACCTGTCCAATTACCAATTACCCGCCTGTCAACTTCTCTCTCTCTGCTTTTACTGCGAAAACTGACAACACTGACTAGTGAGACATACTGGGTATCTCTTAGAGTGGAAAACTTCCGTTAACCTGTGGCTTCGTTAATCCAATACAGAGAAAACGGAGATGTAAAGAGAGACTGTAAGGTGATCACTCTGCGTAAAAACTACGCAGGTGTTGCTGTTTAATTTTTAAAGGGGTGAACCGGTAAGTCAGCGGAAGGGCTCGGTCAGATGACCAAAGCTCCAGCTGTGGATCATCATATGACTAAGACCCGCGTCAGGAAACACTTGTCCTGTTTCCTGAAAAAAACATACCTAACCCTAACCTAACCTGTGTTGCTATACATTTACTCGGCAGTTTTCTGGAACATTTATTGGCCATTAATGTAGAGAAGAGACAGCTGCATAAATAGCTTTTACTGGGGCAACATAGGTCATTTTGATGTATAATGCTTCAGACATTTTGATGTAAAATGCTTTAGGTCATTTTGAAGTATAATGTTTCAGAATTTTTTATTGTATTAATATTGGTAGAATTACCGACAATATGTTAAGTAAAAGGACACAAGTGCAACTAATCTGACATTTTATCGTGGGAACGTTTCGCTCTCCAGGAGCTTTGTCAAGCTGTTACAAACAATACATGGACACAGAGGCTATATATAGGGTTTGAGTGAGATGTAGTACAGATAGACGTAGTAGCAGTAGTAGTTACTATACATGTGGTGGAAAAGTCAGCTGCAAGAAAAGAGCTCTTCAGATCATTAATTCTCCACGCACCAACACCACTCCTAACAAAGTTATAATTCTTCTCAACAGCCAGGTTGCACTGAACATTTCTAAAGTACTAGCACAAGCTAACACTAGAGTCGCCATCGCATTCAGCACTTCAGTAAAGGATCTAACCACACAAAATCGAAGCACCATGAACTAGTCAATGCAGGGTTTACACTATACCCTGTGGAGGCTGCGACAGGATTTATATAGGTGAAACAGCAAGAAACCTCGATATCCGCCTCAATGAACACATTTATGCATGTAGAAACGATAACTTGAACAACGCCTGTGTACAACACCAAAATTTCACCAATCATCTCAGGAAATTCAGGGACGCCCGATTAGTGATCAAAGAAACTAATTTCCGCAGACTCAAGTGCCTTAAATCAGCACTAATTGCTGTTTCTAACACAAACAAAAAGGCAGCTTCATCATCTCTGAAGTCTTAGCAAGAATCCTCCTGAAAACAGTAAACCCTGCCATCACATAATTGCTACTACATAAAGCACGTGCCCAGTTTGGGCCAACAGGCCTGCTGCAGTGTTCCTCCTTTCTTATGTTCTTGTCTAATAGAGAAGGGACACTGAAACATGCTTTCTCAAACCCTTACATATACATTTGCCCAACTTATTTTTCATGCTAACCTTTCTTTCCGATGTACCAGTTGGGCCACCGCCAGGTCGCCATATGGAGAAGAACCGGGCCGGAAGTCCCGGCGAACCAACTCGAATCGAATCAATGTACCAGCTGACTTTTCCACCACATGCATATACACTACTACTACCTCTTCTTATACTACATCTCACTCAAAACCTATGTATACCCTCTGTGTCCACGTATTGCTGGTAACGGCTTGACAAAGCTCCTGGAGAGTGAAACGTTGCCACAACAAAATGTCACATTAGTTGCATTTGTGTCCTTAACAGATTTTATGATGTATAATGCCACAGGTAATATAGCCTTATGCTTCATCAGTGTCTTGATAATACTCAGAGAGACTCCTCGTCTCAGTTCAAGAAAAAAAAATTGTCTTGAAACATGTATCTCCATCTTTGTACTTGTCGATCATACGACATTTCATCCAACACGGTCTGCAGTGAAAATATGCGATCAGTCAAAACAAATCACTGAGGAATATAATCACAATACATTATAACAGTTATTTTTAAGATATAAAGACTATAGTCTGCACAAAGGTCATTCAGGCTACGTATAGTGGACCATCAGTCCCAGTAACTTTAATACTTAAAACTAGGACCAAATTTCACTGACACACACACACGCACAAATATATATATATATATATATATATATATATATATATATATATATATATATATTATATATATATATATATATATATATATATATATGCGTGTGTGTGTGTTTAAATTTATATTCAATCTATGGTTGTCAAAATACATTCAGATTGAATTTATATCCCCATTTATCAGTATCGTTATACAAAGTAAATTAATTACAGTTTTTCCCGTCCTAATGCAGATGATTTCATTTTGTAAAAATTCTGTTATTTTTGGTATTTTAATCCCGGAAATGGCAGGAATGGTGTGAAATTAAACCAGTCAGCCATTGTCACCAAGTGATGTGAGTCCATCATTACTGTATTCTTGGGGAAGCGTTGAAACAAGTGAATGTCACGCAGCACCTGGAGAATGTCACGCAGCACCTGGAGAATGTCACGCAGCACCTGGAGAATGTCACGCAGCACCTGGAGAATGGGAAGTGTTCAGATTTAACTCACGGAAACACCAGTTTGAATTCTTTGGGGTCACTACCCTTTCACCAACTAAAAGTAATTGTTCCTTGTAGGAAGGCTGACCCGTGCAAGATGCTGGCGGATGATGCTCCGGTCAAGGTTACTTTACGCAACTGTTATTGCGTAAATAAATATGCAACAGTCAGGTGTCTTACCTAACAACCTGACGGTATTTTATAGCATTTTAATATTTACGTAAGTGCTTTTAAATCGTAATACTCCTGGAAAATATTTTAATTCTCTCGAAATTTCTCCCTCCCCCCACAAAAAAAAAAAAATCTGGGAAAATAAAATAATAAAAAAAGCAGAGTATAGTGAAATATCAGTTTTTTCATATCGCAAAAAAGATCATCTGAACTGACAATAATATTATTAAAACCTTTGGGCTCTTTGAATCAAGAATATCGCAAACCAATAAATTCCATATATACCTTCATCACTGAAGAAATTATATATACAATCGTCGTAAGATTAAGACTCGAGTCAGGATTCTGTCCTAATGAATATTAAGCAAATCATTCAAACTTTTCCAAATTATCAGTTTGTGATTTATCGGTAGTCTAACAGAGGAGATAAAACCATAAATTAATATTTATGAAATGATTATATACGCTAAACGTATATGTATGGACGTCATTACTGAAGATATCCACAATAAAGTCAAGATATGTTACTTGGGATAATTCTAAAGCCATATAAAAGGACTGAAATAAATTAATATACTGAAAAATGTGAAAAATACCATCATTAGAAACTTTATTTTCTCCTGGGATTTATTTCAAATATCTAAACTACGTTTAGATATTTGAAGTAAATCTCAGGAGAAACCTGTGTTATTGTGGGTTGATCAGATAATGTGTGGGTTTAGCGCTTCGTTTCGATGATGATGATGATAATAATAATAATAATAGCAATAACAATAATAATATAATAATAATAATAATCATAATCATAATAATGTATGCTGATTGGCTCAAATATGTGATCGCTATTTACATTACTGCACATTTTAGGTGCCAATAGTCTAACTGGTCAGAGACCCGGTCAACTTTAGCTCATCCTGAAGTACTTACAGTACTCTGATATCTCATGTTTAGAGAGGTAATATTTTAACTCGTATTATTGAATTACACATTAAAATACACTTTTGTCTATCCCCTAACCATCTATCTCCCTCACTCGTAGCACCTACTTCCCTCCGACATCTACTTCCCTACTACACCTACTTCCTTCCTGCACCTACTTCTCTCCTACACTTACCTCCTATACCTACTTCTCTCCTACAGTTACTTCCCCCCGACACTTCCCTCACTACTGCACCTCCCTCCTTAACCACACCACCTCCGTCACCACAATACCTCCCTCACAACACTACCTCAGCATGGCCATAACCACCACAACTAAGGCTACCCTTGTTTCTCCATATCCAGGCCCCAGGTGTGCCAGTATGAACGACAGGAGCAGGTACGCCTTCAGGTGCCCACAACCCGAGCCTTCACCGCCACCGTCAAGATTCAACGCCCTGGCTGCTACTCCAATACTCAGGATTGTGTTGACTATGAGAGAAGGTCAGTGATGGCTTTGGAAGCATTGAACCTCATATAGGGTCTTTCAGTTCACTAAGAGAGGTAGAAGCTAACTATACTCACCATGACTCGCGAAATCGTTATAACATGACTATAAACAAACCACGGAACGGGTGGGGTGCTTAGGCACTGGCCTGGAGCTTTACGACTAACTCGCCATTGGTTCACTCCCCACCCGTTCCGTGGTTTGCTTATACTCACCAAACTGTTAGAGAAGAAAAAGAGGAAACGAAAATTACTGTGTGTGTGTGTGTGTGTGTGTGTGTGTGTGTGTGTGTGTGTGTGTGTGTGTGTGTGTGAGTGAGTGAGAGAGAGAGAGAGGGGGGGGGGGAGACAAGGGACAAGATAGAAGGAAGGAAGGAGAGAGGGGAAAACAGGAATGTAATTTAAAAAACATCAAACACCTCAACACCAGCTGCCTGACAGAGGTGGAAGAAAAAATCCGCTGAACCTGTAAGCTGGATTCAGCTGGGCGTTGCTGCTGGCTGGTCAATACTAGCAGTGGCTGCTGTACTGGTGTGGTCGTGGTCAATACTAGCAGTGGCTGCTGTACTGGTGTGGTCGTGGTCAATACTAGCAGTGGCTGCTGTACTGGTGTGGTAGTGGTCAATACTAGCAGTGGCTGCTGTACTGGTGTGGTCGTGGTCAATACTAACAGTGGCTGCTGTACTGGTGTGGTCGTGGTCAATACTAGCAGTGGCTGCTGTACTGGTGTGATCGTGGTCAATATTAGCAGTGGCTGCTGTACTGGTGTGGTCGTGGTCAATACTAGCAGTGGCTGCTGTACTTGTGTGGTCGTGGTCAATACTAGCAGTGGCTGCTGTAGTGGTGTGGTCGTGGTCAATATTAGCAGTGGCTGCTGTACTGGCGTGGTCGTGGTCAATACTAACAGTGGCTGCTGTACTGGTGTGGTCGTGGTCAATACTAGCAGTGACTGCTGTACTGGTGTGGTCGTGGTCAATACTAGCAGTGGCTGCTGTACTGGTGTCGTCGTGGTCAATACTAGCAGTGGCTGCTGTACTGGTGTGGTCGTGGTCAATACTAGCAGTGGCTGCTGTACTGGTGTGGTCGTGGTCAATACTAGCAGTGGCTGCTGTACTGGTGAGGTCGTGGTCAATACTAGCAGTGGCTGCTGTACTGGTGTGGTCGTGGTCAATACTAGCAGTGGCTGCTGTACTGGTGTGGTCGTGGTCAATACTAGCAGTGACTGCTGTACTGGTGTGGTCGTGGTCAATACTAGCAGTGGCTGCTGTACTGGTGTGGTCGTGGTCAATACTAGCAGTGACTGCTGTACTGGTGTGGTCGTGGTTAATACTAGCAGTGGCTGCTGTACTGGTGTGGTCGTGGTCAATACTAGCAGTGGCTGCTGTACTGGTGTGGTCGTGGTCAATACTAGCAGTGACTGCTGTACTGGTGTGGTCGTGGTTAATACTAGAAGTGGCTGCTGTACTGGTGTGGTCGTGGTTAATACTAGCAGTGGCTGCTGTACTGGTGTGGTAGTGGTCAATGTTAGCAGTGGCTGCTATACTGGTGTGGCCGTGGTCAATATTAGCAGTGGCTGCTATACTAGTGTGATGGTAGTCTTGATGAACTGCATCTAAAATCCAATGATTATATAATATATATATATGTGTGTGTGTGTTTGTGTGTGTGTGTGTGTGTGTGTGTGTGTGTGTGTGTGTGTGTGTGTGTGTGTGTGTGTGTGTGTGTGGGAGAGAGAGAAACAATCCAACAGTGAGTTAAGAACAGGGTGGACAGTTGTCCATTACGACAGTCTTACAGTAAAAATATCTCTTGTTGCACTATTTGCCTGGCGCCCTTCTTGTCCAGAAGTCAGATGACGTAGGAGGATGTAATCCAAGAGAGTGGTGTATACTCGAAGTGAGAGTGAAAGTGTGTATTGTGTAACATATTGTGTGGACTAGCTAATGAGAGATTCGCATTTCCCCTGACAGTTTCTGATCAGCCTGTGTTGCTTACTTTGAACTGCGTGCTGCTGGCACCAGTAGCCTGGTTGATCAACCTAGAAGTCTGCGTCGGTACCTGGCATATCAGCTTTATCTCGTGGCAAAGTGTACAACAAACTACTAAACTTGGAGAAAAAGAGAAATGGAGAAATAAGTAAATGGAGACACCTGGAAAATGTCCTGAAAGATAAGAGAGCGTGTAAGAAAATAAACAATAATAAACACTCAAAACGAAACCAAAAGTAAAAAAAAAAATAATAAATTTAATACTTGAATATAAAAAAATGAAAATAACACGGTCAAAAAATTAAAACGTTTGTAAAAAAATAGTCTTAATTATTAAAAGACAGAAAACGTGAATAAAAAATTTCCAGCCCACCTCATTCTTGTTCGCGTGCCTTACTACCTGGAAAAAAGAGTAAAGAACTGGAGAACCCAGAATAAAACTGGTTTGGTTGGTGTTGCGGTTTCTGCCTGACCTCCCGACTCTGTTTTACGACCTCTCAAGATGGATTTCGCCATGAATGTGGCGAGGCCGTGAGTGTGCTTGCCTCTGCTGGCAGTGCTCACTGAGGTAATCAGTGTACTGCTCCGCCATGTTTGCGAGAAGTATTCTTGGTTGGGAGTGAGAGGAGAGGAAGATACAGCAGGGAATGGGGGAGGGGAGGACGAAGGAGAGTAAGAGGGAAGAGAGCGCGAGAGAAAGGAGAAAGGGAAAAGGACTAGAGACAGAGACACAAATAGATACAGAGACAGACATAAAGACAGAGACTGAGATACACAGGGGTCAGGGAAGTCAAGTCTTTTCCTAATTCACATTTATTAGATTGACCTGAGAGAGAAAATAAAATACTACTGTCCTGACCAGACAACTCCGGGAAGCAAATCTCTTAAATTCTGCTTCCCTCAGACCTATAAGCTTAACTGATACCAACAACCATTCGGAGCAAATTACTCATATAGTACATGCTTTGTAACGAGTTATAGCAGTTGGCAAGAGAATCTCGCCCTAGTCATCACCAGTGCATCCCCTTCCTGTTGACAAACTGGGCTGCCTGTGAATCCAGCCAATTAGCGATTGAGTAATGTGCCCTGTTTGTGGCACGTTACAGGCAATTAGCAGTGTAAACTACCCAGCCAGCTTGTTAGTTATGCCCAGCTGACGAGGACCTGCTTCAACCAGTATAATGCTGCCGAGTTCAGTTACTGGCAGCCTTCTATTCACAGTGTCACGACCCTAAAGTTGCTAGCTTCACAGTACTGTGTAGAGTTTTAGTCCATCTGAGATTGCTGTTTTTTTTTCCTAGGCGTCCAGCAACTCTGCAACCATAGGTCAACATAAAAAAAATTCAGTAATAATGGAGGTGTTTACTAATAAAGGGAGTAATTACGTATCCAGTGTTCACTATTATTACTAATATACGAATGCAGACAAGATATCCCTTCAAGACGTACACGATGAATAATATTAGGAGTGATGGTTTTGCATATATATATATATATATATATATATATATATATATATATATATATATATATATATATATATATATATATATATATTATATGATCTTTGTATGTCTGCTTTCTTTTGTTTTTATCTTACAATCAAAAATTTTAGGGAATATTTTTCAACTTGGGCAGTTTTTTCCTACTTACAAAATGCGGCCTTTTTTTTTTATTTAATAATATAACCTGCTAGTGTTTACGCATAGATTTGTAACACAAAATATCTCACTATTTTTTTCTCATTTAAACCCACAAATTACATGTTCGTTTCTGCTCTGTAATTCTTCGAATGTTTCTGATTTTTTTCTTAGAAATATCAATGAATATTGTTAAATTTACTACAAACCTCTGGATAGTTTCGAAGTTTGCATATATAAATTATCGGCAGATACAGGTTTATTAAAAGTTTACATAAAACAGTAAATTATATATTAAATTTTTACATTTGATAATTATATATAGAAATAAACGGAGTAGCGATGGAATTTCCCTCCGGAAGCAACTCCAATAAATTCTGACAGTGGTATTAGTCAACAAGTAGTAATTCCGACATTCTTTAAACAGGGGAGAACCTGTATTACACGACGTTTTATCCATTCTGGGGTTTTACTGCTGGTGAAACGTCGGAAACTAAAAGTTCATCTTGTTTAAAGTGTGTTTTTAATTAAATTTTGCTAATTCAGTCCTCTCATTGCAAGAAAATTTGGCTGACTGCCTCTTCAGCTGAATTAAAAACAATTTTGATGATGCAATTTTTTTTTTGTTTTTTTTGGCTTTTTTGATGATTATATTTGGAACGACAACCAAGAAGAGATAACTCGGAACGACAACCAAGAGGAAATAACTCGGAACGACAACCAAGAGGAAATAACTCGGAACGACAACCAAGAGGAAATAACTCGGAACGACAACCAAGAGGAAATAACTCGGAACGACAACCAAGAGGAAATAACTCGGAACGACAACCAAGAGGAAATAACTCGGAACGACAACCAAGACGAGATATCTCCTCCAAAGATGTGCGCGTGTTAACCCGTGAAAACACAAGCATTTGTAGCGTAACAAAAATATTGCAAGATGGGAACAAGCTTCTGCTGTTGTTATTCGTCTCAATAAAATTTTGCTCTGGCAACGTTTCTCTTCTTCACTGCTGTTGGTAATACGCTTTTTGACTCGTATTAGTCTTTTTTTTCATTGAAGTAGTTTTTAGATGTGGTAGCCACGACTTTTATAGCAATTTCTTGCCATAAAGGTAAGGCTTTTCTTTACATCCGAATGTGTGTTTACATCATCGCTGCAGGTCTAGCAAAAGGCAACTTAAAACGCAAATGAGAAACAGGCACGGTAGAAAGTAATCTTTTAATCCAAGGTCAGTTAGTAAATGGAGCTCTCTAGATGAACAGGCAGCGGAAGTTCACTAAATACACATTTTCAAGATTTGTGTGTGTCGGATACAGGTATGTCGGATACTGAAAGCTAGAGGTCGGTAAATCCGGTTGATAAGGG